AGTTAAGCCTGGGAAGAAGGGAGGGGCTGGGGGAAAGGTGTTTAAGATTTTGGTTTTATTTCTTGTTATCCTACTCTGATTTGATTGGCAATAAATTAAATTAATCTCCCCAAGTCAAGTCTGTTTTGCCTGTGACAGTAACTGCTGAGTGATCTCTCCCTGCCCTTATCTCGACCCAGGAGCCTTTCGTTATATTTTCTCTCCCCTGTCCCGCTGAGGAGGGCAGTGACAGAGCGGCTTTGGGGGGCACCTGGCCTCCAGCCAGGGTCACCCCACCACGGCAGCAGGGGCAATCACGCCCTTGGCAGCAGCAATGGACACAATAGTTTCGAAGTACCGGGTTCAGTAGACCATTCTCCAGCTGACATTCACTACTTTTGTTCCATAGGCTCAAAACCCAGCCTTTCAAGGTTCGGTAATGGCATGTAGCATGTATTTTCCTACAGGACTGCTCAGGGTCATGGGACCGTTGCTCATTTAGGAGAAGCTGCATTTGTAAGCATGAAGCAATCTCTGAAGTCACTGGATAAGCAGAACATGTATTAATAAGATGTGTGTGACACTAGTACTTATTCTTTCACTTCCTATCTGTTTTACAAATGAGCTAGATTTAGCTTTTAAGGATTACAAAGATCACACACAGATGTGAATTCCTTTCTTGCTAAACTAGAACTGTGTCAGAGCCAAGAAGCAGATGTTTGCATTTAGATCCAAACCTGAAAGCACAAGAGGTTGTGTCCAGTCACCCAAGAGACATCACAGTTGCAAGACTCAATCTGAAAGCGTGATGTTCAGGAGTGCCGTTAGAGGGGCAGAAAACTTAAGCTTCTGGGAAACTTAGATATATTTCTGAGGTGGTATTTTCTGTATTATCCTCACAATAAGGGCTCGATCCCTATTGGAGACCTATAATATGGGGACAGAAACATCAGATGACATGTTTAGAATCTCCTGGCAATTTTAATACCAAATGTGCTACGATTGTTCAATACCGTGATTCCAAAGCAGGTTATCAACAGGATTTCTTTGCTTCTTCAAGAGATCAACTTGCACGAAGGCTAGAGCTACTGTGTTGAGCTGCTTCTGGTAGTTGTGAACTTGGCATTAAGCCATGCAGGTAGAATGCACTAGCGCTCCCAGCTATGTCCTCAAGGAATTACCTACAAACCCACGATTTCTAGTTCAGCTTGGTGTGTCTAAATTAGCAGGAAAATTGTTTCCAGTAGTCAGTTATCTCAGTCAATTTTCTGTTTCCTGTATTGGAGAATGACCAAGAAGCTATTTTCATACGCATTATCCATAAGAATTATTTAGGTGGCAGCATCCACATAGAATTCCTAAATTTTCAGTAGACTGACAGCATCCATCTTGGATCACTGCAAATTTACGTTGTGAAGATTCTGACGAGGCTCAGCACCCATTAAAAATATAGCCAAAGTAACTATGTTAACTAAAATAATTTCATTTAGATTATTTCCGGTTTAGAAGTCAGATCTATTATTGAACCCTTGGCTTCCTTGCTCGACATCCCTACCATAAGCGAGAGGTTTTAGGCAAGCGAAGAGGCCCAGTGATGAACAGCATACAACTGCCACAGGGTTTAGGCGCTGACTTTTCCACTTCAGTCAACTTAGTCGAAGAAACAAGCTCTGTCCGATGTCTCGGAAGGGAAACCTATTTACTCCACTCTTCCGTAGATTGATAAGCTTCATTTAAATGCTAAATCAAACCCAAGAATTGCAGCAAATATATCGGAGGATTAGTTGGTTCTTTCTGGAAAGGATCCCACTGTTTTCTATCCCTTGGTGAAATGTGTCAGTTTTCATCTGAACAACACTGGAACATCCAAGGGCTACGTTTCGCAGAAGAAGTGACTGTGCTTTTACATTTTAACTTTTAGTTTTGTTCCAGATGAAGCAGCACAGTCTGCATGCCTGCGTTAGGTTTCACAATGGATCTGCTTTCCCACATCAGACAATTTGGTTCTCCCCCTCACATCAACTTGTCTCTCTCATTGCTCAAGTATTGCTTCACACAAGTGCTGGGTACATTGAACCATGTGTGCCAAAAGAACAAAACCAATCCAATACGAAAGGAAACCCCAATCCTGCACGGATCAGCCATTATGCCCCCAAGAAGTCAAATATGATTGCTTTTGAGGCCCGAGATACAGTAACAGGCTTTTCTCTCCCCAAAGAGAACAAAAAGCATTCAGATTTCCACGAGTGCTTTACAGAACGTCAGCTGGTGTATCGGAAGCATACTTTATTTTCAGTACTCTAGAAATAGCAACCTATTGTTATTACCATGGGTCAACACCCCCCCTGGAGAGACTGAATACACATTTAGTTTAAGCAGGGAAACTTTGACCAGTGAAACCCAGAACCTTATGCGCACTTCAAGTCTGTAAAATTATTCATATAAGTTTTCAAGATCAAGTCCAAAGTATGCTGTTAAAGACGGGTTACACCCTTTGCTTACCTTTGAAGCTAGTCAGTACAGACAATGACTTAAGCTGGTCAACGGCAGCTGCTCTTTATAACCAGCTTAACTTTCTGAAAGCAGTAACAGAACGCCGTGTGCTTGACCCTCCAACTTCTACAACTGCATGGGTGCATCCAGAGCTCTCCGAGGTTGTTACGAGCCTTTCAGATTCAGTCTCCCAGCAAATACTGTTGGTTGGACCAGCCAGTCCTTGCGTATACACCTTCTTTCTGCTTACTAAGCCTTCTTATTCTTGCAAGCAACCTCCATGTTTTTTCAACATTGTCACAGTCTTTACATGTATTCTTTAAATTTTTTACGTTTTTAAAAATCCTTTGGATGCCTTTTCACAGTACCTGACCCCTATGAAGTAGAAGATTCCCAAGACAGGGGTGTTGTTTCCTGGTAGATAATTTTACACTTATTTTCAGCACATTACATGGTTATGACAGTCTGGAGACTAATTTCTTCTCAGCCATTACTTTTCAGTTTCCAAGAGTGAAATCCACAGGATCCTCACGTAGTGGATGCCCCCAAATTAACTACCTGAACTAAACCTTCCACTCCAACATGCTGTGCCCTTCCTCGCTTTCTGAAAGCTTCCCTATCATTAGGTAACTGACAGCTGTGCAGACCGTTTCATTTTACGTAGCAGTATTTAATTTCCCTTCTAGGGCTGCAAGGACTGTAAGAGAATCGGGACACAAACTTCATTGTCCTCAACTTCAGCCCGACTGCCCCAGCTGTGCCAGCAGAAATCCTTGGTGCCTCTCTTGGGAAGGCAGAGCTGTCTCCGGCTAGCACTGCCGCCCCCCTCCCAGCTCCTGCCTCCTCCCGCGGCAGCTGGCTGTTGCTTCAGTATCTGTAGGCCTTTAGGCTGAAGAGTTAAGTAACTCTGCAGCCACTTGATCCATTATTAAGCGAGAACAGATCTGAACGGATCAAACATTGTTCCTTGGAAGAACAAGAGACCCCTCTTCATCAGTTATACAAACTTCCTCTATAAAAAGAGTGGAACGAGCTAAAATAGTTCTTGTGACAATTGCTTTCCTGCTTTTTCCTGCAGTCCAACTAGCACAACACATTTTACTTTGGGGATATTTACAAACTAACTGTTTCTGTTTCCTTACTGCATAATCTAACTAAGCAATTTTAACAGCTACATAGGGCAATATGGCAACATGCCTTTGGAGTGGCAGTGAGGGAATTTTGCCACCGACTTACTGTGATTCAAGAAAGTGATACAAGATGTAAAAGATTATCTGTGTTTCTAGATGTCTGCTAACTGCCTCGTCCCTTCATTCTCCACAGTGTAGTGTCTCTCCACTTTTCTCTTCCCTGAACTAGCTGCTGCTTCCTGACAGAAGTTGTACCTGCAGGGCACTCCAGCTTCTCCAGTAGCAGGAAGAAATCTACTCTTCGTCAGAATTCAGAGGAAAGCAAATGTAGAAATACAAAGTTCTTGGACAGCCATGATCTAGGGCAAGTATCTAACCATATCCAGTGAGTCAGTGAACAGCATGGTCACTATTTCCTCCTTGACCACATGTCATCCAGAAGATTTCACAGTGTATTGTAAAAATGACTGCCCAAACGGTACGGAGGAGACTTAAACAAGAAGCTTTATTCTGGTCTTAAGAGGGGAAAAAGTCAAGGATTTTCCAAAGCCATTAAAATGCATCTGAAACTGGAAAAAGATAGATTGTTTGAAACTCACCCATGTAGCTGTAAAAAAGATACTCCTGAGGGAATGCCTACCTTGGGAAGACACTGTGATTAACAGCAGATGTATCTACTTGGGCTCCTCATTAATTCTTTCTTCTACCGCAAGATTATCGTCACAGAGTCAGCCTGAAAATGAAGCTAGTGGAACTACAGTTTACATGGATTTTTTTGGGGAAAAAAAAGGACAAATATTACATGTCACCTTCCTTCCTGCCTCCCTGCTCCTTTCACATATTTGCAACAATCTCAAAACCTTCCCATGTTTCAACCGAGATCCAATGATTTCCCAGTACTATAAGGCTCCGTCTTCCTTTCCATTTAGCTTGGTTCCCTCACTTAGTGGGAGCAACATGCAGACACAACTTTTGCCATGAAGAGGATTCGGTAAGATTCCTTAACATCACCTTTTAAGGTCAGGAGGGCTGTCACAAGCAGAGGGTCATTGGCCTACAAAAAAAAAATCCACACATAAAACCAACCTTTTTTTTTTTTTTTCTCTTAACATAGAGCAGATTAGTTGATCAAGTTCTAAGTATGTATTTTACACCTCAGTTGTAAGTTGTACCAGTTATAGCTATAGATCACTTACTTCCCACTGTCTTGGCTCTTTTCTATTTCCACGCAATGCTCACACTGCAGGAAGTAAAGTAGCAATGACTAAGCATCCTATCTCCAGAGTGCTACAGATATCATCACCACGTTACAGCCATGACAACTGGGCACAGCAGCAACAGAGTACGCTGCAGCGAGGGCTGGGAAAGAAATGGCTCCTGTTAGCCATCGGTTAGTGTTAGATCTTGTGTAACCACCAGTGGTTACCAAGAGGCACCTGATACATCATGCCAGGAACTCTACTGCCTTCTTTCTGCACATGATAGCAGCAATCTTTTAATTTTGGAACAAGCTACTCATTCTGCCATCCCACACACAGCTCACAACAAAAAGCAAGAGAGTAAACTCTTTCAGTCTCCACGAGCACCCAGGAAGCTGAACGAGGAAGGGCAATCACAGCCCTGTAGAGATGTTTGGACCTCACACCTACACTCTGCAACACAAAAGGGCAGAAGTAGCTGGGGAAACAGGGTTCATGAAGCAGTTCATAAAGTGGAAAATAAAAAGGCTCCACTGACTTCCAGGAACGTACCAAAGGAAAGGCAGCCCACAGCCAAAAGAAATGTGAACACTGTAGCAGAATGGTCCCTGTAAACTTAGTTCTGTCTGAGCAGGACTACAGGTTTTCTTGCACAGGGGGCATTAAAAAGCTCACTTCAGTGTGATCAAAGCTGAGTCTTTTAGTTAGCAGCAGCGGCATTTTGGCCTTTTGGTGCTATAATGATGCAGTGACCTGTAAGAAGTCAGATTCTAAGTTCTGTAAGGGGCAAGCGACTAATGGTTGTTCTTCTCATCACACGGATGAATGGAAGCTCGTGGTGAGGCAGCAAGCCTCCAAATCGTACATCTTGTTCCTAGGTTTTGTTCTCATATCAGTGTTTAACACCAGCCTAGGCTCCCTTTGGTAACTACATGTGTTCTGTCATCCTAACGCGTCAAAGCAGCCTGTACTGCTGACATCTTCCAGATCAGCTTTTGTATTTTTCCTACAAGCCGGTGGCAACAGCTGCCATGCGCTTCCAGTTTGAACAGCAACATGCTGCAGCACTCGAACTTACATGGAAGTCAGCAGGTGGCACCCAAGAAACACCGATGCGTTTGACTTGACCACGCTCAATCGTTCCCTTCGCCGATTCGATGGTGAATCCCTTCTGCTGCAGGAGTGGCAGGCTATCAAAACTGAACTCCGTGTTCTACGAGAGACACACACCACGCACCCTCGTTACAGCCAGTTCTGCTCCTTCAAACACAATGACTGCTTATTAAAGGCTGCACTGCCCAGATGCTACATGTGGGCCTAGCGCTTGCCAAATTGCGTCTGCCCTTTGAAACTGCAAGCATCCATCTTGTTCATTGTGTCAGGTTGTCAGAAAATACTGTACTAAAATAACAGGATCAGACCTGAAATTCAGTTCTGTGCTCAAACTTCTGTATTTCAGAATTAGGGAAACAAACTTAATTTTGTTGCTGACTTAATACGATAATGCTAATCTCTCCTATTAGCACCTGAAAAACAATCTTTTCTTTTCAAACACTGATGCTTTTATAATGTAAAGTTTACCAGAAACCCTGAAAGCTGTATTTTTTTTAATTTATAGACTGAATTTTTGACAGAAAGAACTAGTAGCCATTTGTACGCTGTCAGTATTCCTTACAGCACCTGACATAAAACTGCACTTTTTCTTTCCTTTACCTTCTTAGACGCAAATTGCGCTGTCCGTATAGCTCCAACTTTCAGTTCTGTCATTGCTGGCACTGGAGAACTCTCTCCCTCGATGTACTCCAGAATGAGGAGAATGGACTTCACTGGTTCTTGTAGCTCTAAACAAATACAAAACAAGTACACTTTGAGACAGTCAAAACTGAGCGATTATCAGTTTGGAACAAGCATCAATTACACCAGGATGATTCAAACCGAAGTGATGTGGCAACACATTCATGAGTTGGCATATAGATAAGGAGATCCTTCTTACAGAGTCAGTGAAGAATTAAGCAAAAAGAGGTTTTGCATAATTTGCAATTGCAAACTGTAATTGTTTACTTTTTATCAAGTTTAATGCTCGTTTTCTAGCCCCATGGCACATACATTGTGTGTACTATGTTCCTACTTGTGTATGGTACGCACTTGGGTTTATTTATAGCTTAGGAGCTAGGAGTTGCTTATATACTGTCTCTGAACACAGATCCTGTCCAAAGAAATTAAGGAAGGATAAATTCAAACCCCTGAAAGTGTGTCTGTTTCATAACAGTACAATCGGGAGAGTCCAGGATATGCTATTATATAGGAAATAATTTTATAAACATTTAATACAAGTTAGAGAAGGGGCCGAAAGCAAATACATCTTAACACTTTTTAGTAGCATTAAATTATAATCATTTTTTTTGCAAGGTAAGTTGCAAAGACAGATTGTCATTAAGATATAACTGCATTAAAATTAAGAGAAAAATCTTTCCTTAAGAGTAAGTTTCCTGCATATTTTTTTGTGTGTTATGAATACAGGCTATACCGTAATGCTTATTTGTTCATATTCTGGAAAAGTTACCTTTAATTTACTTTTTATTAGAGGATGAGGAACATGTCCATGTCTTATCACTGACTGTTTTGTAATAAAGCGTGAAGCGGTAGCACATTACCTCCTTTCAGTGCTTCCTGCGATGACACAGGTAATGTTACAGCCAAGGACTCAACGGGCACATCGAGTGGAATTCCCCCTTCCACAAACATTGGGTGATCTCTTGCTGCACCCTTTAGGTGGATCACGTGGGCTACTTTCTATATAGGACAAGAATGCTTCAAATGCAGGTTACAGCTTAAGCACCAACGTAACTGGAATACTGACACGTCAGCATCAGTTGCATACAAATTATGACATCATCTGCCTATATAAATGCCAAGAGGCCCTGTACTCTAATGCAAGAATCCTGCTCCTGTCCGCTCAGGCACTTCTGTTTTAAACAACCTGTCATTCTTGGGCAATGTGCCTCAGGAGGGGACGGGCAAAACTATTTATACTAAAAGCCACTAAAAGAGGCAAAACTTGTTTACTACCAAACTTGGCTAAATTTTGCGAACTAGGATGAGTCTCCATTCTTCGGCTTGTTCCGATTTGCATTCTTAACCACAATTCCAAAGATAATCTGGAGATACAAAACTTGCAAGGAGAGAAACAGCACTTACTTGCTCACTACCGGTTTCTGCCTCGTGTTTGCAGTGCCTGCTGACGGTCATTAGTTGGCATCCTTCATTAACTTTTGGTCAGTCCCTTTTGGAACTCGGCATAAAGCCACCGGCTACGCTGCCAGCTCGTAAATCTTGCCGTGGGCTCCATCTAAGCTCCACTGCTGCTCTACAGATGGAAACCTCCTTCCTCATGCTGAGGGACTGCAAGAAGCAGCTTCCTGGTCCTCAGGGCACCTGTCCGTTCGCACTGTGCAGGCACAGCTCCGCTCTCCACTGCCATTAAATGCTGCTCGCAGAGAACCCACTTGGAGCTGTGCTCAGCAGTGTGGCAGCAACCCAGCTCCCACCACCTCTCGTTTAGACAGCGCAGACAGCAGGGCAGAGGGCAGGACTGAGTCCCAAGTCACTGCTGTTATGTCTTAATAACTGAATATTTAAAATCTGAAAAAGAAAGTCAGTGGGCCCCAAACCTGCCGTCTCCTACCTACATCAGTTAATCTAATACAGATAATATTTCTGCCTACAAATGCTGTCACTAGATACAATTATGTGAAACTCCTACTAAGGGCCATACTGATCAAAATCACTGTAGGTCATATTTAGACTTTGATTTCACAATCCAGGTATCTCACTTGTCTCACCTTGCCAAAGAGCACAACCTTGAGACGGTCAGAGTAGTACAGACTTTCATGGTCAGGACTGAAAGTAACCATAAAATCCTGACTCTTCCCAGCAACAATTTCTCCTTCTGTTGGAAAGATGCTGAACACACTTAAGCCATTATAGTTCTGTGTTCCTGGTAAATAAAAATGAGGATATGAATGAGAAAGGAGGACAGCTTCATTTTACTACTTAATACATTTTAGACCCATTTAATTTTTACTTGAACAGCAAATAAGTAAGACCTGCTACATGGTTTTGCAGCAAAACAGAGTGTTAGAAATACCAGATAAACCCATCTATCAGTTTAATGCATGCATCTCTAGACGAACTGAAGAAGCATCACCAAACCCTTCCCATATTCTAACGTGTTTCTACAGAGATGGGCATCCCTAAATATAACCTTCAATATGCAATTACTGTGGGGGTTTATTTAGATTCAAACAGTAGTACCTCTGTATTTGTGGATATTTGCTCAGGCTGCATAAATCTATAGCTACCCATATTGAAAGAATTCGTACAGCTTCTACTGGGGAAACAAAATTATGACTTTCATTTAAGAAGCCCCAGGTTTTGACAGTTGTGTAGATCTAACAGGACAAAATAATGCTGCTTTATACTTCATGAGTCTTTAACAAAAGAAAAAGAGAAAAGAAGAAAACCAAGTTTACCAACAAACTCTGTTCTTTGCAAAGAGGATGCAATAAAGGATGGAAGTCTCTGCTGATCTTTGTCCCTTGTTGACGAAAGCGAATCTAGTTGTATGGAGTATCGCAGGGTCAGTGTGGAAGTGTTCTGTATCTGATGACATTAATTCACACAACAGCATTTTCATTAATAACATTGAATCTCAAGCCTGTAGGGTCCATAGTTTGTGAACTGGTTGAATTTATTTTGCTGCATTACTGCAGTATTGCGTACCCAGATGCCACCGATAGCACGCGTTAGTGCTACCTGTAACGTGTCATGTCAACCCCCACGCCCACAAGAACAGGGACCAGGCTCCTTTTAAGTGTCTGGCAGCAAGTAATGTATTTTGGTTATTGACATACTTAGACTGAATAATAGAGGAGAAAAATTATGCCTGGATCTGGGCCTGTTTCTGAGACTGTGGGAATTTGCAGTATATGAACGAGTGAATCGGTTAAACTTCCCTAGGCTGTCCCATGGCAGACCCTCGGGTGCTCTTTGTAGGACCAGTTTTGCGTTTCACCCACGTACCTCTGTCACTGCTTTGTGTGGACACAGAGCAGCCTCAACTGCGATAGAAGTAATGGACGGAATAAAGAAAGAAGGCAAATATTTCTAACACTGGTAAAAGCAAAGCCATTTCTGACTTCACATCCCTCTGCATACTGGCTAGATCTACGGAGAAGATCACACAGACCATTTTTCTTCTTCTTTCACAGAAGGTACTGGATCTCTATTTTTTTTTGTATAGGCTGCGGACAGAGCAGAAGCAGTTAACAAGATCCACCCCGCACACCTTTGTCACCTTTGTCCTGAAACTGTCTCAGCACCAAATCACTCTGCCAGACGTGATTTTAAAGGTATGTTCTTTTGTCTACAGTTTGCCACTCAGCCTTGCATTCTGCCGGACTAGCAGCTACAGAACTCCTCTTCCTTCTTGCAAAAATTGCTGATGTGCTTTCTGGTTCAGCATAGAGGGATTTACCTTGAATGTGGAAGTCACCTTCTCTCTGGCTATGACATAGCCCATATTGAGTTCTCCTTCCACAGAGCAAACGGTTGATGGCATCACCCCATGACCAGTGATATTTAGGGTTAGATTGTTTTTTGCCGTTCGGATGTCCAGCATTTCAAAAAACTGCCAAGAGTATGTCTGTGTTAGCCCCTTTGCTGAAGGAAAACATCCCCCACCCCTCCCACTGACCCTCCTCCCACAAATGGGCCATTACTACAGAACTTCTGGATTTAGTGCATAGACAAAGATCCAAACGCTGGGAGGGGCTATGTACAGGCAACAAAGTCTTCTCTTCTTATTATACAGCCTCATCCTGGTCAGTAATACATGTTTATTACACAGCCCGTTACATCTCTCCATCTCTCCTCTTTTTCCCCCCACTACTGTTGTATTTCTTACTCACCGATTTATTCTCATTTGGGCAAAAAGAGATGATGAGGGTCTTACTTTCACCTGGCTCAAGCATTCCAACTGGTCTGCCCAACAGGAAGGGACCATTGGGATTCAGAACTGAGAATCCCAACTAAAATAGTGCAACTCAAGGAAAAAAGTTTATAAACAAGGATTGGGGAAAGAGATATAAGAACAGATTCTAAGTATTGTTGAGACCAAAGATGTATAAACTAACCATCTGTAAGCTTTTTCAGAGATCAATAACTAACTCAGAGATAAGAAGAACTAATCCAATTATTTTTTTTTCCCCTGCAGAGTTCATATAGCTGCAAGATCCTCTTCCAGTTAATAAGATCTCCCTGTAACTCCATTTTCAGATTTTGCCTGGAATGGGTCATTAACACCCCAAGATCCGGGACACGCCTCCTCCTGTATTATCCCACACCGCTTAACCCAGACAAGCCAGTGTAGTAGCCTCTTCTTACAAGGTATTCAGAAATTCAGAGAAGCATTGTGCAAAAATTGAGTTGGTTCTGTTTCACGTATACGTCATACTGTATGGAAACTAGCTTTGTCATCAGTACCTTATACTCTTTAGAAAATGGTTAAGTGCTTCTCAAGTTTGGCTCTACGCAGAACTATTTTCAGTTAAAAGGGTGGAATGGAATTAGCTTTCCAGTAGGTCACCTAGGCTCATCCAATATATTCTTCACATCACCTCTTGCCTCACTCTGAAATGTGTGTATTAAGTCTGAAATCTGCTACCTCCTACTTGCTTTAGTGTCAAACAGTTCCTCTTACAGATAGAGAGTCAAATTAAACAGAAACTGAATGGCAGATCAACTTACATGTTCCAGACAAGGATACTTCCAGCTTCTCTGGGGAGATATTTTGTATTGTAATTCGCTTAATCATTCTGTGCCCTGACGGGAAGGAAAACATTTCAGAAAGTGATGATGTTCACTCACGCA